CTAGCTCGCAAGCCATGCATGCGGCAAGTGACAAGCCATGCGGCAAGTGACAAGCCATGCAGCAAGTGACAAGCCATGCAGCAAGTGACAAGCCATGCGGCAAGTGACAAGCCATGCAGGAAGTGACAAGCTGACAGGGCTCGTCTCAACACCCCCTACTTCCCCGCTCCCTTTCCTTCCCTCCCTTCCCCTGGCTCGTCCACTTTGCCTGCGTCCCCTGGCCAATACCTGGGCGCATGGTCCGCTCGGCTTGGCTCAGGTCGGGTCAGGTCGGGTTGGGCCAGGTTGGTTCAGGTCAGGTCGACTAGGTCGAGTCGGGCCAGGTCGGCTCAGGTCCGTTCAGGTCGGTTTAGGTCGGTTCGGGCTATGGAAGGGACAAGTTTTGAGGCGCCTCAAAACTCCGTTCAGGTCGGTTCAGGTCTGTTCGGGCCATGCAAGGGACAAGCCTCTACTGGCTTGAGACGTGCCGGCTCAACTCGACCATTTCGCCCGGAGAAATAAAGCGCTCCAAGGCAAAAAATAGAAATTAGAGTGTTTGGCGGCCAGCAGAGCAAGTGAGGCTGGAATGGAATAGCAAATGAGTGTGATGCACACATCGTCCAGCCAAGTAGCTGATCAGGAAACTCACACTTTGGACAGATTTTGAAGGTTGCCAATAGTAGCTGGTATTGGGCCAGTCAGTTTACTGTTCCATAAATTTCTGCATTTGTGAAATGAAGGAGGGTTGTAAGGATGGACTGAAGGCCATGTAACGAGCTCGGAGGGTTGTAAGAAGGAACTGAAGGCCATGTAACGAGCTCGGAGGGCTGTAAGGAGGAACTGAAAGCCATGTAACGAGCTCGGAGGGTTGTAAGGAGTAACTGAAGGCCATGTAACGAGCTCGAAGGGTTGTAAGGAGGAACAGAAAGCCATGTAACGAGCTCGGAGGGTTGTAAGGAGGAACTGAAGGCCATGTAACGAGCTCGGAGGGTTGTAAAGAGGAGCTGAAAGCCATGTAACGAGCTCGGAGGGTTGTAAGGAGGAACTGAAAGCCATGTAACGAGCTCGGAGGGTTGTAAGGAGGAACTGGAAGCCATGTAACGAGCTCGGAGGGTTGTAAGTAGGAACTGAAAGCCATGTAACGAGCTCGGAGGGTTGTAAGGAGGAACTGAAGGCCATGTAACGAGCTCGGAGGGTCGTAAGGAGGAACGGGAAGCCATGTAACGAGCTCGGAGGGTTGTAAGGAGGGACTGAAGGCCATGTAACGAGCTCGGAGGGTTGTAAGGAGGAACTGAAAGCCATGTAACGAGCTCGGAGGGTTGTAAGGAGGGACTGAACGGAAGGCCGTGTAGCGAGCTCGTCAGCATCAACGTGAGACTTGGAACAAAACGACATGGCTGGCTGGCTGGCTGGCTGGCTGACTGGCTCAGAACCTCGAAAAGGTAACACGTTCTTTCTTTGTGGCGCCTCAAAACCAGACACATCCCAGATCCAGGACCTGGGAGCAGCAGCACCCACAGATGGGTAAGGCTTCGGAGGTTGCTGATGGAGTCCGGGATTGTCCCGTTTAAGTTCGCATCAGAGATCATTCTGTTGGTGGGAGGACATTGGAACGGGAGAGAGGCTTTTTTTTAAAGCCCACAGCCCAGATTGCAGGCCGCATGGGTCAAGAATTTAAAACTTGACGAACTAGTGTTTGCAAGGTTTGAAAAAAAATGTGCCTGCAATTGGGGACTTTTGATGACTGAGCCAACCCACAGGGCGAAATACGAGGGCAGGCTGGGTTTGGCGAAAAAAACGAAAAAACGAAATCGGAATTTTTCGCCAAAACACAGACCAGAAAAACCCTCTCGCGTCAACCTTTCACAACTTGTGCAATTTGGGCTGCCGGTTTTAAGTAGGCGCGTCAGTCAGAAAAGGTTTCTGCTGATGGAGGCAGGGATTGCCCCATTTAAGTTATCGTCATAGATTATTCTGTTGATGGGTGGACACTGAAATGGGAGAGAGGAATTTTTTGTTGTTGACTCAAAAATCGACTCAAATATTTTAGGTCGACCTAAACTTATATGTCCGGGATTGAGGGCCCATGAGGGTCCACTCCCATGGCTTTTTACATCTCACTCACACATGTCAGCGCACAGCCTCTGAAGCATCAGGGCCCTATGACCTATCACATCTGAAGCATGGGGGTCCCCTCGCATCAGAAGCATGGGGGTCCCCTCACATCTGAACCATGCGGATCCCCTCACATCAGAAGCATGGGGATCCCCTCACATCAGAAGCACGAGGGTTCATGAGGGTCCATGAAGGTCCCTCCCTGAAAGCCCATGAGAGCCCATGAGGATCTATCTACCCACGCACATCTCCGTGATCATGCCCTGGGAGTCGCACGTGGCGCTGCTGGCATTGCTGCAGTCCCCACCAACCACCCAGCCAGTCATGGATCCATGAGGAAGCATGGGGACCCACTCACATCTCCGTGATCATGCCCTGAGGGTTGCATGTGACGCTGCTTGCCTTGCTACAGTCCCCACCAACCACCCAGCCTTCAAACGTTGTGCTCCACGCCTTCTGACAGTCCAGCAGGACTTGCGCTGGTGGCAGGTGGAGGGAATAGGGGGAGTGGAAGAGAAGAGAGAAGGGCAACCAATGGAAGAGAGAAGGGCAGCCAATGGAAGAGAGGAACGTCTCAAAAATTGAGTGCCTCTTTTGTTAGTATGGGGTAACTTTCTACTCGCTCTGGGGTAACCTCATTGTGGGTCACCCGCGGGTACTCCACTGGGTAACGTACAATGTGCACAACTGACCCGAATGCAGGTCCGGTTGTAAGCATCGGAGCTGCCTACATGACATTCGCCAACTCACCTGGGTTCGCATTTATCAGCACTTGAGATCCCCGCCACATTGGTACACGTGTACAATTCCGCGCGCATGAGTAACCAGAATGGTTACAAAATCCGGATACACTTCTGTTGGTAATTGTTTCACCTATATCGGCATTAGGGTTCATTACTGTTAGTGTCACGTTGGGTAAAGTTACAACATAGTTTTATTCCATTACACGTATTGTCACGCCTTATGTAGTCACCACATTAAAAAAAATGTACTTACTGTTGAATCAACCAGGCGCAACGAGACGGCACACACCGATGCGCGTCTAGCCGGGGTCATTGTTCCCGCAACAGCCACCTACTGGGCATCCGGTGCAAACCACACAGCCTCGGAGCACGCTGCGATGATAATGGTGGGTGGGACGAGGCTCTCATAGCTAACACGAAACGTTTGAGTGCTCGCATGGGCATCTCAACTCAACAGCACACACCCATGTCCGCTGTAACCGCTTATAATCGATAGCGCATGCAACCCCCCCCCCCCCCCCCCACCCTCCACACTCAGATAGCACCTTTGATTGTGGAGGCGACACTCACGATGGTGCAGCACCTGACACTACTCCGCTTCATGCAATGGCATGAGACGCACATCCGGGCCCCACACCACACGAAACTCACCCTGGCGGCTATGGCAACCGACACCCGCCTGTGAGGAACGCTACAACATCCGTGCAGCTAACCACGAGCGCAGCAACAAACATTCCCCCCCAGATTAAGTATTTGATGCAAATCAAATGTTGTTGGTGTCGTGTGCAGGATGCTACAACAGCTGGAAGCCCATTTCCCCAGGGGCAAGGATGGTTGGAACCTCCTGAAAGTGCATTTAGCAACGCACGTCCCGGATGCGATCATGAGAGCGGGGCTGCCCGCGGAATTCTCTGCCGCGCCGTACGAGAATGCGCACGTACGAACGTGCAAGCAACCGTACAGAGCTTCCAACAGGCGCGAGATAGGCATGGCCATTGCACGTGACAACGAACAACAGGCCATGCTGTCGGCATTGCCGCCTCTCGAAGAAGAGTCGCGTGTATACGATACCGCGATTCGGCAGGTAGGCCAAACCTGCAGGCTCGTGTCGGCGCAATCGTGGGCGCACAGCGACGGATGGTCTAATACTGCACGTCGATAGGAGCATTTGGTATACACATACATTGGATGTGGATGAGAAATTGTGTGCGCGAACGATGTCAAACCCCCTTTTCTCGGCAGGCGCAATCTCGCAAGACCCCAACGCTAACAAAAGGCAGGAGGCGGATGGTTCAAGGTCCAGTACGCTCACCGGGAGGCAACGACGTGTTCAGAGAGTACGACGACGCGATAGAGGGAGGTCTAGGACCATACGCAGCGACGATGCAGGAAGCGGGCTACATGGGGTTTCCTGTATGGGTAAGACACGGTTCGTTTACATGCATACGTGGCTGACCAAGCACATGATTCCTTTCGACACGGTTCTCACAATGATGTGTTCGTAGGGGGTTTAGCATCCACGCACCCGCGCGTATTGCATTCTAATGCCGCGGTTGCTGCTTTTTGCAACGCTAAGCCCTCATTCCGCCCTACACCTCTCCTTGCACTGCAGGTGCACACGGCTATAGCACTCCCAGAGAGTCCAAGCAGCGGGGGCACCAACCCTCTTCATTACGCGCGAGCGATGCCAAAACTCCACGGACACCCGGCATTCTCATGGGTGCTGTACAAGACGAAGGATGACGAGGACTGCATCAGCCAGTTGTGCCTCCTACTCACCGCAACCAAGGCTGAGGGGCCATCGAGGTACCCGATACGGGAAGAAGTCGGGTATGTCCGCAGTATGGTAATGGGGGCGGATCACGCGGAGTCGGGCTGCAAGCAATTGACATTGAGTGACACAAATGCGGGTTTCGTGGTCATCCCTACACGCGCGATCAAGCGAACGGTGCACGTGATGAAATCGTTCAAGCAACCGCAAACATGGTTCCTAAACCGCTGGGCAGAGAGAAGCCGCGAGGTGCACACGTCCCTGGCGATGGAGACGAAATGAGCACGCAGGACAAGGTATGCAATGCCAGCGCGTGATTGCAGGTGAGGTCAGGGGAGAGCACCACCAGTGCGTGAGAGGGCAAAGGAGAGCGCGTGCGTGCAGGTGAGGTCATGGGAGAGCGCGTGAGTGCAGGTGAGGGCATGGGAGAGCGGGGGCGTGCAGGTGAGGTCATGGGAGAGCGGGTCAGTGCGGGTGGGGTCATGGGAGAGCGGGTGTGTGCAGGTGAGGTCAAGGGAGAGCGGGTGAGTGCGGGTGAGTGCGGGTGAGGTCATGTGAGGGCGCTAGAGTGCAGTTGAGGTCATGGGAGAGCGCGTGAGTGCAGGTGAGGTCATGGGAGAGCGGGTGAGTGCAGGTGAGGTCAAGGGAGAGCGGGTGAGTGCGGGTGAGTGCGGGTGAGGTCATGTGAGGGCGCTAGAGTGCAGGTGAGGTCATGGGAGAGCGCGTGAGTGCAGGTGAGGTCATGGGAGAGCGGGTGAGTGCTGTTGAGGTCAAGGGAGAGCGGGTGAGTGCAGGTGAGGTCATGGGAGAGCGGGTGAGTGCAGGTGAGGTCAAGGGAGAGCGGGTGAGAGCGGGTGAGTGCGGGTGAGGTCATGTGAGGGCGCTAGAGTGCAGTTGAGGTCATGGGAGAGCGCGTGAGTGCAGGTGAGGTCATGGGAGAGCGGGTGAGTGCAGGTGAGGTCATGGGAGAGCGGGTGAGTGCGGGTGGGGTCATGGGAGAGCGCGTGAGTGCAGGTGAGGTCATGGGGGAGCGGGTGAGTGCAGGTGAGGTCATGGGAGAGCGGGTGAGTGCGGGTGAGGTCTTGTGAGGGCGCTAGAGTGCAGGTGAGGTCATGGGGGAGCGGGTGAGTGCAGGTGAGGAGAGCGTGTGAGTGCTGTTGAGGTCATGGGAGAGCGGGTGAGTGCAGGTGAGGTCATGGGAGAGCGCGTGAGTGCGGGTGGGGTCATGGGAGAGCGCGTGAGTGCAGGTGAGGTCATGGGGGAGCGGGTGAGTGCAGGTGAGGTCATGGGAGAGCGGGTGAGTGCGGGTGAGGTCTTGTGAGGGCGCTAGAGTGCAGGTGAGGTCATGGGGGAGCGGGTGAGTGCATGTGAGGTCATGGGAGAGCGTGTGAGTGCTGTTGAGGTCATGGGAGAGCGGGTGAGTGCAGGTAAGGTCATGGGAGAGCGGGTGAGTGCAGGTGAGGTCAAGGGAGAGCGGGTGAGTGCGGGTGAGTGCGGGTGAGGTCATGTGAGGGCGCTAGAGTGCAGTTGAGGTCATGGGAGAGCGCGTGAGTGCAGGTGAGGTCATGGGAGAGCGGGTGAGGGCAGGTGAGCCCTGGACGCCCCATTGAAGCCGCGCACGTGCTTCACGTAGTCGCTCGGCTGCATGTCCACGAAGGCCTTCTTCGTCCCCATCAGGTGGTGTGAGCAGCCGCTGTCGAGCAAAACCACTGCCAGGTTTGCCTGCACGGCGACCGCCACCGCCTTGAAAATTTTGCCAGCCTCCGGTGCCAACAAAACGGTCGGCTCCACGACGCCGACCAGCAAGCACGACGCCTCCCCGTCACCTTGCCCCTTGCCACCAAAGGAGACGTCTTTCACCGACATCGTTCGACGTCGACTTCGTCAACTGCTTCTTCTTGCGCGACTTCTCATTTCGACGTTGACAGCCGTTGGCCGGCCGCCTTGGACCCTTTTGTGATTGTCGTCGTCAGAGACGGTGCGGTCATGTCACTCGAAAGAGAGGTGGTCGAGGTCGCCGCAAATCCAACCCTCCCGCTGTAGGCTACCGTCTCCTCAGCCTCCATTCCGAGCCGACTTTGACTTGGCGGCGTCCTTCGCCGACTTCCCACCTCCGCCAGCTTCCCACGCTGCCGCTGCTGATGACTCTTCTTCGTCGGGGCGACGTAGTTCGCCTGTGGAAGGAGCTCCGTGGGCCGTTTTGCCTCTTGCATCGCCTCATCCTTGATGATGTGGCTGGTGAGGGTGTCCTCGTCGAGCGACTCCTGCACGTCGAGCATCGCTATCATCCGACGCATAAGGTTATAGCCGCTCGGCAATCCCTTGACGACGTGCGTGACATATGACGCCGTCGAATAGTCAACACCGGCCATCCGCATGTCGCCGAGGATCCGTCGAGCTCGGTTGCAATAGTTCGTCGCCGACTCCTGCTCGCCCATCCTGAGGTGGGTCAGCTGCTCCTTCAGCTGGCTGATGTACAGGTCGTTGGTGGCCTGGTACGTTGACAGGATGAACCGCAATGCCTGGTGGCCGACGTCCAGGCGAAGCCGGCAAGGCTTGAGGGCGATCTGCACCATCGGCGAGCAGCACCTCGAGATGACCATGAAGGTCAGCAGGTGAGCCACTCGAAATTCCATCTGCAGCTCGACGTCATCTTCGCCCGGCATCGGCACGTCGCCGTCGGCGAAGCCCTTCAGCCAGGCAATCTCCAGCAGGGGCTTGATCGACTCCCTCCATGTGATGAGGTTTCGTCGGCCTTTCAGCAGCACGAGCACGACGATCTTGTCTGGCAAAAACTTGAAGTAAACGTATGCCAGCGCGATCCCGCCCACTGTTACGGGCGTCGCCGATGTCGGCCTCCCACTATTTCGCTTGGGAGAGCGACATCGCCCGTCGGCGTCAACATGCGAGTTGCAAGCGGCCACCATCGACCGCTGCACTTGCACCCGGTTCTAGCCGACGCCGACGTCGGCGGACCTGATCTCTCGTCTCTTCCTCGTATCCTCGCTGCCGCCGACCTGGTCACCACCGTCGACCTCCTCGTCGACGCCACCTTGTTCCATACCGGTCGAGGAGAGGCAGGTCAGTAAGGGTGTTCTGCAGCCCTCTGCGCGCTGATCAAGAACCACCTCCAAGGGGAGTGCCAGCCCGAACTCGCCAGCCATATGGCGTCTCCTCGCATCAGCCTCCCTCGCCTACAAGATATCCGCTACGCCTGTTTCGCCTCGTGGTCTACCATGGCGACTAAGTCAGTAGCCAGCCTACTGACAAATTAGGCAATGCGGACCTAAGTTGGCTACTCTGAAGGTAATCTGCGGGGCCGTCGACGCGCACCTCACCATGGGGAGAATCATTCTACAACGAAAGCAGGACTACGGGGAAAGACACGGGTTGTGTGAGTGATTGCAGCGTTCTTTAGCGTTCTCTCTACGCACACATTCATAGGGAAAATTGCCAAGAGTTTCACTAGCAAGAGTTTACAACAATGGGTGCAATGGCAATAGCAACACTGACTACATCAGAGCCTAGCAATCTAGCATATAGGCAGGTCAACCTCCACAAAAGAAAAATTGGCGACCTGCCAGCACTGCAAATTGACGCTTTGCCAGTGCTGCACGAAGGCGACTTGCCAGCATTGCAATCGCTGGTGACAGTAGCGCACATTTGCACACCTACTCCGCAGGTGCTTGTAGACAGTTGGCGCGACGTGCACCATTATGTGCACGGCGCCGCTGCCAAGTCGGCCACGTGCCGTTGATTGCGTGTGATGAGCCATGTCGACCTCAGAATCCCACTCCGAGGTCGGCTTTGCAAGAACCTCCTGGGGAACGATCGCGCACCTCGCAGAACCTCATCGCCCTCGTAACTTGGTCGACCAGGAACCCGCCAAGTCAGCGTCGACTTGCGCGGCCAAAGTTGACCAACTGCTGCACATGCTCGTCGACCACCCAGGTCGACGGTTATCTTCTGACTTTGCCAAGCCGGCCTCTTAAGTTCGGCGGCCTCAAGTCGGCGCCCCTACTAGGTCGACCACCAGCCAAAGTCGGCCGCCAGCTTCCCATCGTCGGCGGCTTCACAGTGGCCCCGTGAAGGTCGACAAACTCCGTCGACCTGCACACCTAAGTCGGCGTTGCCCACTGCAGACGGTCGGCTGCACTTCCTGCACTCCCGACCACAAAGTCGGCTCCACCCAAGCAAGGACGGGGCTAACTCCTGTTAACAGGTGGGTCATACAGCATGTGTTGCGAACGTGATGTGGGTCACATTTCAAATCAATGGCCAACAGCGGCGCTCACAAGTTAGCAAGTCTTTGGAAGTTGCTAGGAAAGCCAGGAATGGTGCCTGTCAATCTGTTGAACCCAAGGGTTTTGGTGGGAATGAGAGAAAAGAGGCATGCATGTAAGGTAGAGTGTGCACAATGAGTGAAAGACAGAGGAGCAGTGACACAATGCTGTTCTCCAATGGTCGCTTTCTCAAGGAAGGACAAGGGCTTGTGTTGCAGGTGGCATTGAAGAGAGGCGGGAGAATGTGAAAAATCTCCACATCACATCACATCGCATCATATCACATCACATCAGATCACATCTCATGTGATGTGAAAACAGCACATCACATCATACAGATCACATATCATCAAATCAAATCAAATTAAACTAAATTAAATCACATCTCATCTCATCACATCACATCACATCTCATCACATCACATCGGATCACATCTTATCACGTCTGGTTACATCTCATCACATCACATCAAAATAGATCTCATCGCATCACTTTGCATTCCATTGCACATGACATCCCAACACATCACGTTGCATCGCATCCCAACACACCACATTGCATCACGTGACAGACTACAGTTGAGGGAAAACCATTAACTTTAATATCGTGGTTGAGGTGGATAACAAAAAACTTGTAAAGTGGAAAGGGAGGCTGCCATTTGAGCCTGCATAGAAGCGAAAAGGGAGGACATTGTACAAGACTGCATAGAAGCGAAAACAAAGACGAAGCATACGAGGAGGCTGTGTTGAAGTCTATGTTGGATATTACGCTTACGTTTATGTACGCTTTACGTTTACGTTTACGTATGTTTTACGTTACGTACAAGGTTCCAGAATGAGTTTACATTTTCGGGCAATTTTTTTTTTTTCTAGCTGCCCAGGTCGTAAAATCTTCCCTGGGATTCAAAGTTGGCATTAACATTATCTATGATAATGTTACGGTTCAAGCTACAAAATTACAATCTCCAGCCCGAAATTTTGTTGCCGACCATTGTTTGTATGTGCGTGTCACTTAGTGACGCGTTACTTTTGCTAGGTGCACAAATTCGCTTCAGGCTTTCCCCCCAATTTCAAAATCGCGAGTCAACGCCTCCCCCCAGTGGCATCACTTCGACCTCCCCACCTATCTCAAGTTCCAGCCCCGTGACTTACGCGGGGCTTTATGGCGGTGTTCGCCACGACCACGTTATAGACAAGGGGCGGGGGATGGGCGAGGGCTCCAGAAGGCGCGAAGGAAGTTGCGAACTACGTCCGGGGGGGCTCGCCCTCGGCTGAAATTTCGCCAATGGGATCAGGAAGGGGGACAAGGGGATCTAGCACCTGCCTCCCCCCTTCCTTCACGGGGATTTTTTTTTTCAGGAAGGGGATGAACCTCCGAAATTAGTGGTATGCACGAGGGAGACGCGAGGGAGGGGATGGGGTTCCTAGCTGGCAGGGCAGGAAACTACCATGCACATTCTGCATCCCCCGCCCATCCCTTTGATGGCCAAGAAAAGTGGGTGTTCGCCACGACAGCAAGCCCACCGAGGTTCGGACGGGATCGTCAGGCTCGACAGGATTTTGTCGGTCTGACCGGCCCTAAAACCCTAATTTCAGCCCTTTTCGAAGGTGCAGGGCGGATTCCGGATCCCCCGCCCATCCCTTTGATGGCCCAGCAAAGGCGTGGCGAACAGGGCCTATAGGTTAGGGTCGATGCTAGAGCTATAGATCCACAACGTAAACCTCTCATATCTACTACGTAGAGCTCGGATCTAGATCATCTAACCTAGATCCTAGAGTTCATAAGTACGGCCTAAGTTAAGATCTAAAAGATAAAGCTGCAAATTTATTTAGCGAGGTAGATAGTTATGAAAGAACCGTCAATCCTAAATATAGCATTTTGTACGGAGCTGTATGTGCTGCCCGGTTGTGTTGCAATGATGCTCTCTTCTCCAAGGCCAAATTACAGATCTTGTTTTTTTTTTGCTGGAATTTTTCTCCCTGCCTGGACCCAAGCTACGCGTATTTACGCGTACGTAAACGTAACATAGTGTGACACGTAACATTACATTTACTCAGGTCCAGGGACGTACAGACCCATCTTAGGCTGAAGTAAGAAGGCGTCATTAAGTATGTAAGAGCAGGTTGGCGCCTAGTCATAAGCGTCTTCATCAGCCCTGCACCACCCCTCCTGAACATGTCAAAGGCTTTCATAGGAGCATCTAAAGACCGCTTTCTC